TATATTATTGAATCTATTATGAAAGTTCCAATAATTCCAGTCCCTGGAACCATTACAAACATTAAGAATTATACTGAATTTCCATAAGAAAAAAAATCCACTCATCTTTCCTCTAGTTAAGACACTTACTGTAAATAACTGAATCTAGCTGATTTACAAAGGGTCATTTGTTACGTTAATTCCCAGGTTTGCTGTTCTGACAGCATAGGTGAACCTTTCACTGAAGGTCCAAAGATAGTAATGGGAGTAATATAAACAGGTATGAAAATAACAATGAGGAGAAATGGTACAAGCAGTACAGGGACTGTCAAAGTCAAGACAGGGAAGTAAAAAAGGTTCTAAAAGGAGTAATGTTTGTAACATTAGTGAACATGGTCTAACTAGTTCTAATTCAGATAGCTCAGCTGGGGCCACAGCTATGAGGGAGGAAGGCAGAGTCATTGAAGGATGGGAACAGCCCAGACAGAATCCCACATTTGATAGGTTCATTCATTTCAGCATTGTAATTAGCTAGCTTTAAGTTAGCTTATTATGTCTACAGTCACACATCTCAACTGCCTAAAAAGATGCCTCTAAATTTTAGTGTAACTATTGCTGATCACAATGTCATAAGTTAATGTAGCTGCTACAGGGTGGTGGTGCTACAGAGTCCTAAAGCAGCAGGCCAAGATCTAGATAGGGACCAAGATCAATGCCTGACTAATAGAAAAAAACCCATAGGCCTATGTTATGGTAATTACAACCTCAAAGATATGAGGATTTCAAACTCAGACTCTGAAATTAATCCGCCTTTGCATTTACAAGAAACTGATAATCTGTCAGTCAGTACCCAGCTTACCCCCTGCAAAGTCAGTGGGACAAAGTTCTAACCTGGATGCCTAGGAAATGCTTCTACGAAAGTGAGTGCTAATTAATAATATTATGGCACTTCCCTGCTTTAATGTTTGTTCAAATTACTTACTCTAATATTTTCAAGGTTTATCTTACAATCACAAGAATTTAAGCAGAAAACACTCAGAGAAATATTCAAATATATCTTCTTTTTTTCTTACAGCTGTCTAAAGATGCACAGCCCTGAATCTTGCAGAATAGCATAAAAGGCTTTATCTGACCTAGAATGTGGACTATTCAGGTAGTCTATTACCTACTTAATTTTGGGAGCAATGTGACCTTCTATAGGAATTTTGTTGCGAATAGCATACAAGCAGATGCCAGGGGATAGTACCACCAATGCTAAGGAGCTTCGTTCTCTGTAACAGTGAGCTATAATTTAAAGGGTCAAAAGCCTTCTGTTATTTTCTTATGGGGCTTTTCTCTTTTGATGACTGTGCTAACAGACCCTATTCTATTTATTCAATGAAATTTATGTTTATATTCCATGGGAGATGCTCGTCTATCTGCCAAACTGTGTCAGCAGAATTATAAACCTGTCAGTGACACAGTATTTTAGTAGTAACCTACGTTGGCTGTAAAAAACAAATGCAAATGTTCAGACAATTACTTATATGCAATGAAAATAGCACTTTCTAACAAATAATGTTGTCAAATAAAATAGTGACACTACTCATCTTTAAAACAATGAATTTATATCATCTACTTTGAATCATGCTAAGTTTTTTGAAAGGCTTTATTTCATCTACTACCTTAAGAAAATTGCAGGCAATTTCAGATATGTCTAGAATGTGGTTAAACACGTAAGTGCCAAACAACCTCCCTGAAGCATTTTGCAAGGCTGTGCTGAAGTTAAATACAGCTGACTGAACTCAACCAGACAAAAGTTATCTCCCCTAGCCCATAGGTGTTAACACACTGGAAGCTGCCATATCAATATGTAGGTAGGTGTTTACATAGTCAACTATGCATGGTAAAAATGCTCAATTATATTCAAGCAGTGTATTTGCCATAAAGCATTAATTCCATTGCATTTCATGTTCATGGGTGAGGTTATCTACTTCATAGAATTAATTGAACTCAGTAACAATGTAGCACCAGGCAGGAGGGTGTACAGAGGAGGGAAACCACAGATTCCTTACACAGCCACAGTGAAGAAAATTATCTCAGGAACTAATGCCTTGGCTTTAACCTTGTATTTACAGCTGGAAATGTTCTAAAGTTTATGACCTAATGCAACCAAAGGTGTGGACAGTACATTTACCAATGTGTTTTGCTGTTTGTTAAACCTTTACAAGGCATGTTGCTCACATTATTATTAAATAAGGAGTAGAAGCAATTCCAAGGGGTTATCTGGTGTGTTTTCTTGCCCCAAGGTTTTATGAAAGTGTGCTTTTTGCCAGGCTATTGTGTGTGTCCATGCACAATAACCAATTAGTGTCCAAGTCTTTAAATTAGTTATGAAATTAATCATAGCATATTAAAACTATAAACCAGTACTTGTAATATGTGCTCATTTTATAGATAAGCTAAATTAGCATAGCGATTGCAAATTAGCTCTATTTCAGGAGTTAAAGACAAACATATCCCATCCTTCAGTCTCTGTATGTACGAGGATTATGAAGGATTTGATTCATAATAGCCAGACTAATTATATTTACACACTTAGGGCATTCTTTCATACAAGTTCTAGTTTCCATTCAAGAACCATATAAAATGTTTAAGTGTATAAAATCATACCTTTTGTCTGCTAAATATTGTAAAGGAAATATAAAAATTATATTTGGTTTAAAAAATTAAGATTAATGTTAAATCCATGTATTTATTTTTTAATTAGTATGCCATTGAAAATGAAGATGTAACATCTTTTCTTCCACTTAAGATACACCTTAATTAGGAGAACATGAAGTATTTTGTAACTGAAAAAACCTATAGAATGTTTTTCCAGTTGAGTTTCCTCTCAACCTTCCCCTCTCACCTTTAAAAGTAAGTAATTTTTAAATCCTTTTATCTGATATTTCCTATGGGAAGGAGGATGTTATTGATAAGCCAGCTACTTCCTGGTTTCAAGTTTTGATTTAAAACCTTAAAAAAAGCTGTGGCCTCATTGGAGTGAAACTTTAAAAAAACCTTTCCAATAAATGGTATATGCATTGCCAACTAGCTGCTTCAGAAATGCACATTTTAAAATTTAACCATGAATAAATCAATATGTTTTTCCAGTAGAATTCTTACTGATGGTATCCTCGTCTCACTAATGCCAAAGTAAGAGTATCTGAAAGTAATAAAAGCAATACAAAAACTTGAGTAGAAACTAGAGGAGATGGTCCATAGTCTCCCTACTTTACCTGATAATAGATGAATGTATAATTATTCTTACATAATCTCCTTGAATCTTATTTATCCCAGTACTTACGAAAGTTTCTCCATAGTTTCAGGCATCCCCATGTGAGGGACAGAATACCAGAAGAAGAATGGAAGAATGCATTTCACTCACCCAAAAAAATGTGAGGAAAGTGCTCTGTGAGATTCCCCCCATTCTTGGGTTTAGATATTTATACTTCAGAGAAAGAAGTTCTGTTACATCTACACAGTTGCAGACCAATTTTCCAAAGAACTAAGCACGCTGAGGGGCAAAGTCTTTTAAAACTCTGGCCTTAGGTGTTACAATGGGAACTGTGCTGGTGAGTGTAATTGAAAATCTGGTCCTGATATACGTGCCCTAATTGAAGTTAAGATATTTTAAAATTCCGTCTCCAGCTACAAATGCTTGAAAATTAGGCTTTGGACTCTT